TTGGTCTATGTTTCATTAATTTGAGTTCAATAGATTATTTGACTTGAAGACTATTTCTGGGTTCTTATGATGCTGGTAGTTAGAAACTAGTGAAATACAATTAAATAGGTAAATGATTTCGGATTGATTGAATTTCTGCAAGGATGTGATATGAATCGTAACTTACAAAATAAATGATTTGGATCTTTAAAATTTGATGCGGAGTGGGTCTCATAACTAATTCCAATTTTGTTCAAATATATGGGGGATCCCTTCACTTAGGCCATCTCCAACCGAAAGGGAGCCAAAGGGCCATGTTTAGCCCTATAGCCTTGCAATAAATTATTTTTTAATGAACAATGCCTAGCTATATTTTATACCATCTCCAACTAAGGATGACAAAGGGCCATAGGCCAAAACATAGCCCTTTGACAAAAAACACATCTCCAACCAAAGGGGGCTATAGCCCCTCAATAATTTATTATTTTAATTGAATTAATATGGTTAATTGAATTAAACTACCATATTAAAATAAGGTTTTCAGACATATTTTGAGTACCACTTGTCGCTAAATGAATAAGCTTTCGGATTTCTTATCCTTATATATGAAAAGGATGTGAAAAATTGGTGAAGAATTTGAAATAAAATGAGATAAGATAGTATGAAATGGTGAAAAGAATGTGAGAAATGGTGTAGAAATGGCTTAGGTATTTATAGGAAAAAAATTAGAAATTTTTTTAATTTCGTCTTAAAAAAAAAAAAATCAAATCCAACAGTAACCTAACATCAACTAGCATGGGTTTGGGCTGGTGCAAACGGGCTGGCTGGCTGGCTCCTTTCGGCCAGCTTGCTGGCTTAGTGGATGGATTATGTTCGGTGGGGGCCCACAAGCCTTTTGGCCTAGCCCTTGGTTGGAAACGATTTTCACGTCAAAACGGGCTATATTTTGGCCTATGACCCTTTGGCTAGGTTAGTTGGAGATGACCTTAGAAGACTTGTAAGGTTATTATAGTAGAAAGTGTATTTAGATGTGGTCCCAACCTGGATTACAAAGGAGGACGAGGATCCTCTGGATCCTCTTTGTGGGGATCCGGGGATCAATCAATCGTACCCGTTCATCATACATTGGGCAATCAATTTTCGTTAAGTACTATTTATATTCAATTTCAAATAAAATTTTTTAAATAATTTCTAACCGTACAATGTACAATGAATAGACACAATTGATTGATTCTCCAGATCCCCATAAAGAAGATTCGAAGAGGATCCTATTCCTATAAAGGAATCATGTGGATTGCTTTCTAGGGTTCTAAGTTCTATAGCAATTACCGTATGAGAGAGGCTATAACCTTTCTAATTGCAACACACGGTTTCAATTGTTATAGATAATTATGCAAAGGAAAATCCAGAACCAGTGCAAAGTCACAACCCCAAAACTATGAACCCTTTCTAATTGCTGTGCTTCCTTCATAAGTACCAGTGGGGCAGAAATCGTCTTTGACCGGTCGAATGCTTGTCTCGACTCAATTTGAGATTTTTCTAATTCCATTCAATTTTGTCATATTCATATATTTAACTTTTGGTTATTATACATAGCAATTTAACACTTTTATTCCAACAATCCGTGTCATGAAACTAACAGTCTTATAAGTAAAATATTGATCAACTAAGTACTATATAAAAAGAAAAACAAGATTAATACTTGCACCCCCACACTGGAGTCATGCACATATTCACTTCTTTGAGAATAATGTATCTTCACCATATAACTTTTATAATTGGAACCGTTTAGTTTTTTAATCTTCATTAAAAGATTATCCCTACAAAACATACGTTATTCGCAAAAAGTGAAATTTGTACATTCTCTCAATAAAGGAATGGAAGTTTTATCCAAACGGACGAAAGATAACCTAACTTTTTGACGTAATTACTTGGTTGGGTAGATGCATGGTCCGAAATGCCGATAATATCGGCGATATATCGCCGATATTATCGGTTTTTAGGGGAACCGATTTTTTTTTCAATATCCAAATGGTTTTCGGGATAATATCGGAACTGGCCTGCTCAGAGAAGAACGTCAGAGATGTAGAAGCTCCGGCCGACTGTAAAACAGGACCCTAGACTCCGATCTAGGTATGAAAATGAAATAGAAGACGAGATGAACGTTTTTATATATGAAGTTTGCCATGAAACCGTCGGAGGTGTTCGGAAAGTGAGTCGACACGCACGGCCTCGCCGGAGTTCGCCGAGTTGCAGACACGAGAAGGAGAGGGAGAAAGACGAGGTTGCTGATGATGATGGGTGTGCGTGTGTGTATGTGGGTCTCGAACCCTCGGTGCAGAGAGAAAGGAGAGAGACGACGGCGGCGACGAGGGAGAAGCAGAAGCCGATCTGCCGATGTGGGTCTCTGTGCGTGTGTGTGGGAGTGGGAGAAGGATAAATGATGATCAATTGGGTGGGTGAGGGTGGTTTCTCAGGTGGGGGTGCCCAGATCTAGCGGAAGGGAGGGATAACGGAGGAGGTCGGAGGGGGTCGAACATGCGAAGAGTGAGGAATTTGAGAGAATATGGATGGAGAGAGAGAGATAGGCGACTAAAAGGCAAAGTGGGAATAAAAAGGGAAAGAGTCTGACGGCAATATGGATTTTGATAGGTTATGAAGAAAGATGATGGGTTGGGATTTTTTGCATTTTTGGGAATTAAGTGGGACTCTTACTTTGCAATTTTCTTAATGCCCATTTTGCATTTTGAAAATAAAATAAAATAAAATATTGTTTTCAATCACAATTTTACATAATTTAAGAGCATCTTCAATATAAATTTTAAATAAACCCCCCCCCCCCAAACATATAATTCTTAAATAAAAAAAATAAAGTGTAATAAGTCACTCATGTAGCTTACCATGCAATGTATAAAGTGTAAAATATTGTACTAATTCATTATATATAAATGATTATGATGTGTTTAAAATTCTTTCATTAATTACTACATATTTTCTACACTCACAATGTTTGCCAGCTCGCTATATAATCAACTTAAATCAGTTAAATCCATCATGCAATGCATTTCCTTCCAATTTTTTGTGATAAACTAATAGATAATTGACTAAATAAACATCCTACAAAGTTTCAATAAAAATTTCCAAGTTTTTCTTACAATTTCCGTGGTTTCCATGTAATTTTTATCGATATCGATATTATCCCGATATTTCTATCCATATTTCCGTGTTTTCGGACTACCGATATTTCCGATATTACCGATATTTAATAACTTGGGTAGATGAAGAAGTTCTTTCCATCTCAACCAAACGGATAATACTTGAATCCTCACCGGTTAGACCCAACATATTGCATTTTTAAGGTGGACCAATAATATTGAAACAGCTGGCATTTTAAGTAATTTTTCATTATTAACCAAACACCCGCTATTTCCCTAACCAAACACTCCAAATTTCCTCTTCATCACTATCCAATCACTCATCTTCTCACTCAACAAGACAAGCAGACGCCCCATCCGTAAGTGTCAACCGACCACCGTGGCCTCGTCAGATCACCCATCATCAGAGGATTTGCTCTCTCTTTCGTTCTTTCTCTTCGAATCAACATCAAAAGGAAGTCGCCGGATGCAATCGACGCCGATGATGACATGGTTTTCGGCGAAGGGCAGAGAAGTGGTTGTGGGTATCTTCTGTAGTTTGATAGTCGACGTTGATGTTGACGTGGTCTCCGGCGAAGGAAGGGGAGGGAAGTGGTGCTGCCATGGCTAAGATAAAGAAGAGGGTTTGGGGGCGGGACGATAGAGAGATTGGAGGAGAAGATGCGGGTGGGTTCGACGAAGGAGACGAGGTTACCGGCACTAAAACTGGCAGAAGCAAGAAGTAGATGGAGGCTGGGAGGGGGAGGGCGTTGGGGAAGAAAGGGGTTGTTTGGATGTATGGTTAACATTGTGTTTGGCTACATGTTTATATAGAACTTATATTGAAACAGGTGTTTTGTTCTCATCACTTCATTTAGTCAGTCTTTTGGGTACTCCACATTGAGTACCCAAGTATTTTCCATACTTTAATAGTATAACTTTAAACAAAATAAAAATAATAATAAAAAAGTCAACAAGATGCTTGTGAATATACCTTTTTTTCACAATAATAAAATTTTTAACATCTTTTTTACTTCGATGGATGATACATTTCTTCACAACATGGATCTTGACCTCTAATGTTATCAGCCAAGTGTACACGTTGTCTGTGTATGTCAATTTTGTGCTAATCTTAACAATAAACTAGCATTATGACGTTCAATCAAATTGATTTTTGTTTAGATTAAAACATATATAATATAAGGTATAACAACAAAAGTTACCATGATATAAACAAATTTATGACACGGTCAGTTCTTCTTTTTAAGGTTTGGCTACAATGGTACTTACTACTCAATGATATGAATTTATGTAGATCTAACTTTTTGTTTTTCTTTGACAAAAAAATCTTTTGTTTTCAGATCACTTAGTGGTATGTACCGTGAAAGAAAAAATTTATTTTTCTAATGATTTTTCCTCTTTTTAAGGATCAATCCACAGTATCACGAGTGTACACCACCATACATGTGAAAAGTTGAACCTCTGCGTTCTGTCCAAAGGCCTATTAAAAATTTTGTGAAGTTTGAATGAACCACTCTTCGAGTATTTCCTTGAATAGCACCTATATGGGTTGAGTCCCAGTTGAGAATTTCCTCAAATAACACCATACTACTTGATCTAATTTCTCATATCTATCACTTTATTAGGAGAGAGCAATCCTAGCCGTCCACCAAAGCAAGCATGGCTAGCGATCCATGTGGCGGCAAGAGCATGAGTGTCTAACTTTGAGTAAATAGGAAGAACACATTTTTTTATCATATAAGTATGTTATTTGATTTGACAAATGCTACTTATATGTCTTGTCAATTAATAAGTTTATCTCACTAAGTATTGAATCCTTTTAATTTTGCCCTACTTAGTACTTTACATTTGAACCTGTAAATATTGGGCATCACATTATAAATACCCTCCACCATGCAACCAACTCCCTCACACCATCACAACCCACATTACAACTTCTCCTCCTCATAACCAATCTGTTTTCCGTATAATCCCCCAAAACCTATCATGTCTGAAGAGAAGCACCACCACGGTCTCTTCCACCACCACAAAGATGAAGACAAACCCTCAGACTACCCTCAGTCTGGCTATAGCGAGGCCACTGTGGCATATGGCGCCACCACCACTCTTGATCCTGAAATTGATTACAAGAAAGAGGAGAAGCACCACAAGCATCTCGAGCACCTCAGCGAGGCCGGTGTTGTTGCTGCCGGCGCTTATGGCTTGGTATGTATTGAGTTTTAATAGTGTAGTGTTATCTACACATCTATTTTTATCTCTTACACACCTTTCAATTTTCAGCTGTCAAATCGAATAAACTAAGAAGATATGGACAATAATTAACAAAGGATGTGTGTGAGGTAAAAGAGATGTGTGAATAACACTACCCCTTTAGCCACCCACCTATATATATATTTCTTAAAATTATTAATGATTTGATTATTTGATATATACTTCATTCATTATCACTTTACCATATTTTTGCAACTGAATGATCCCCGTCGTCCTCCCGAACCTTCTGTCAACTCCGTCCATTACGAGACGTTAGCTTTTGATCACGAAATACTAGATATATATATTAGCAGTAAGTCGTCGTTATCAACGGTACCATGTTAATATTGTGGAACAAAACGATCAATGGACGGAATTGATGAACTAGGTATGTAAGATACGGAACCAAAAAGTCCACAGGTAAATGGTACAGTTACAAGCAGGAGAAGAAATGAGTAAAGTGATACTCTCGTAATAGTTCATGTAGGGTTTTGATATATAATCGTTTTTTATTTACCACCAACTTATACACACACACACACACACCCACTAGACTTCACGCACGCACTCACGCACGTGCAGAAGACATTTTTTGAATCACAGCGTGCTAGACTTACAAGTTTTAAATATATTTATATGCGTAAATTGAACAAGGAAAGTTAAATATTTGAAGTAAATGAATAATTTTAGATCATGCTAAAAGAAACCCCTCATAAACCAATTAAAGCAGCTGAATTCACATAATAAAATCGGTTTCTATAGAATTTACATTAAGAATAGAGTAAATAATATTTAATAAACAATTGATTGAATCACATTATTGTTAACTCATTATGAGGCTAAGCCCATCCCCTCCCCATTAGTGTAGATAATATCTTTTGTTAAAAAAAAATCATTTGACAATTAATTTAATCACATTATTATCTGCGTGCGAAAGACCTTTTTTTATAAAGAAAATAATATTTAATAAACAACTGATTGAATCACATTATTGCTAATCTATTGTAAGATACTAATTAAAATAAAAAATAAAATAAAAAATTTTACTAATTTATCATGGTCACTACTCACCTCTTAAGATGTTTTGAACATAATGTTCATCATTTTCCTTATTTTTTTATTATATTTTTCTTTCTCCTTCACGTGGGCACCATCAACTTTCACTTATCCCTTCATTTTTTTATTCTTTTCTCTCTTCCCACTTATATTTATATTATATTTTATGATGACCAAATTATCCCTGCATTACTTGATATATTCTATTGGTTATCCCTTCATTTTTTATTCTTTTCTCTCTTCCCACTTATATTTATATTATATTTTATGATGACCAAATTATCCCTGCATTACTTGATATATTCTATTGGGCTGCTTTTGGATTTTTTTGGTTGAGGGGTAATTTTGTCCTAATATTTTTGTCAAATGCGTGACCTCAAAGTTTTTGTTAGCATGCGTGACCCCAAATTGGGGCTCTTGATATATACATATAAGAACAAGTCTAATGTGTGTTAACTTATGTCATTTTTATATGATGTGGTGCAGCATGAGAAGCACAAGGCAAACAAAGACCCAGAGCATGCCCACAAGCACAAGATAGAAGAAGAGATTGCTGCAGCAGCTGCAGTTGGTGCCGGTGGATTTGCCTTCCATGAGCATCATGAGAAGAAAGAGACAAAGAAAGAAGAGGAAGAGGCTCATGGAAAGAAGCACCACCACCTCTTCTAGATCAATGTGGAACATCATCATCATCCATTTACATTTCATGCTTAATCTCAACAATATCGCTACAAAAGTTTGGTTAATTATGTTTCCTTTTTCAATAAAAAAAAATCAATGCTAAGGAGACTCGCCCAAAATGAAGCTTTCACTTTTGAGAGAGTCTCCTTAACATCTCAAAAAAAAAAAAGTGTCGTTTTATTTAACGTGTGACATGTGGTTTTCTTTTAGCATGCCACGCATGTATGTATGTTATTGTCATTGTTCATAATAATATCGTTTATTTGGTACTTATTTTGAGTGGCCACATCTTATTTTGAATGATTTCTTATACCACATCAACAAAATATTTTATATGTAGAGATTGGGGATCGATATTTTGTCAATAACAACTACGAAAAGTTGACTTAGCAAGTTTGTATCCTATAAGACGAAGGGTACGCGGACATCTCACACTGGTTTTTTGAGTCGTGGGAGCATCATGGTCGTGCTATGTAATTGTCATTGACATCATCAATAATTAATTTAGATTTTCTTTAGGAAGTACCTATCGTAACAATATTTATGTCCCACATTTTATTCATACGATATTATACTTTAATCCAATTTTCAGGAAAAAAATATAGTTAATTTAGATTTTCTTTAGGAAATACCTATCATAAGAATATTTATGTACCATATTTGATTCATACGATATTATACTTTAATCCAAATTTGAGAAAAAAAATCGTATAATTGTGGTTTTGCTACTCACGTGTATATGTCTTAATATGTATATGTCATATCAATTTTGTCTCATTAGATATTGAATGTACACACCACTTTTTACGTCTAAGGATCGACATATTAAGAACACAAAAATCAAACACAATATCTCAAATGTTAAAAGAAATGCGATGGTAAAAGTAAATTAAAGTCATCACTTAACGGTTAATTAATATTTTGGAGAAATTAGGTTTACATTCCTTATTTTGCTACTCCATTGATTAAAATGTTATTCCTTGTCAATTTTTTATCAAAGTCATTGGGTATTAATAACATCATTAATTATTTCAATAATAAAATATATTTTTTTAAATACTTTCCTTTAGTATTAAGAATGCTACAATTAATATATTTTCTAATTTTTTTATTTTTAGTTTGTACCCATTTTTAATTTGCGAACCTTTCTTAATTTTTACCAATTTTCTTTTCAGTTTTAATTTGTACTCATGGATTAATTTCTTTTTGTGCCCATATTTTTTAAAGTTTTATTTGTATTTGTACCCATTTGTTTACCGTCACGTGATCTTGTATAATTAATCAATGATAGAAAAATTACATATGGTATATTTATGTTTTATGGCTAAACTTTGTATCATATATTTATATTTTTAGTTTGTACCCACTTTTAATTTGCAACATTTTTTAAAATTTGTAGTATTTTCTTTTTAGTTTTAATTTGTACCCATGTATATTAATTTCTTTTTGCACCCATATTTTTTAAAATTTCATTTGTACTCATAATTTTTTAATCTTTTATTTGTACCCTAATTTATTTATAACGTACCTGTCACAGCCCGTCCCGGAGATGTGTATTATTTATTTATCGACGGTGTGAAATTACATAAATACCCCTGGAAGTTGAGAACTATTATGGGATGTTGTGGTTTAGACTTAAAATTTTGGACCAATTAGCTATATTCCTCTATTATTGGACCCAATTAGAACTAAGTGTTCTCTTAGTTGTGATTGGTGGCTTTTGGACCATATTGGATATATATGCCAGGTGTATCCGATATTATGACAGGTGTATTTAATGTATGCTAGGTCATTAAAGACTGCCACATCAGCAGCAGCTTAGGATATAGATCATTGTTTGGTGAACTACCTATATAGAGTATTAGCTCCTTGTATTAGATAAGCATGGTTGTAATAACTGTTTTTGAGAAATCAGAAAATACATCTTTCTTCTCCTCTAAGCTTCTCTGTGCTCTGCAATTCTACAATTCTTTCATGAGGGTTAAGATGGTATCACGAGCCTAGAATCGCTTGCGCTCTTGATGCTAGGTTACTTTTCCGCTGCTCAATTGAATTTTGATGGTGATTTCGTTCCCTTTTCCTCTGTTATTTGGTGCGATATAGCTGTATAGTTTTGCAGTTCTTGATGTTTGTGAATTTTTTTTTTTTTTTGAAATTAAGGAATGTTTGAAGGCCGATGCCGTAAATCATTACTATTTTGTTTATTGTTGAGAAGTTCCGAGGTCGATGCCAAGAACGAAGTGTTGTTATGATTATCTGGATTCTTTGATGAAGGCCGATGCCATGTATTTTGATTCTTGAAGATTTATCGATTGTTATAGTTTGGAATTAATTTGTTGGTGGTTTCTTCATTACTGCTCTGGTTTTTTGGGCGAAATTTGGCTACTTTTTTATTTGGGTTTTTCTTGCTGTGGTGCAATTTTCTCTGGGTATAGGTTGATATCTTGCTTTAATCTTTTGGGACAATCTTACTGCTAGTAATCATGTTGACTTCTATAAAGATTGAGAGTTTTTTTGGGAATGCTCACTATTAAGCTCAATGATGAAAACTTTATCAAATGGAGTTTTCAATTTTGTTCTGTGCTTCGTGGATACGATCTTCTTGATCATTTCATTGGTGAATCAGTTTGTCCTCCCAAGTTTGTTCTTATTCCTGATCTTGGTGTTACGAACGAAATTAATACTGCTTATAAAGAATGGGTTAAGAAAGATATGGCATTGCTTAGTCTTTTAATTGCAACACTAAATGATGATGTGATTGAGCATGTAGTGGGATGTAAGACTTCATATGAGGCCTGGACAGCTTTGCAAGATCGATATATGTTTATTTCTAAAGCTAGTGTGAACCATTTGAAAGCTGAATTACACATTATGCAGAAGGATGGTGATTCTATTGATAAATACTTGCTGAGATTAAAGGGTATTAAGGATCAACTACAAGCAGCCGGTGAAAAGGTTTATGACAATGATCTTATAATCGCTGCTCTTACTGGTTTACCTCCTAACTATGATATGATTCGAACTGTCATATTGGCAAGGGAAAGTCCTATTATGTTTAAGGAATTCCGAGCACAATTGATTGGTGTAGAAAAGAATATTGAAACTAGAGTTCAATCTTTAGTTCACAGTATGGCTGCCATGTATGTAAATGGTCATTCTCCACCTGGTGTTGGTATGAATTTTTCGAGTTCATCAAATTCATATGTGATTGGTTCTGCTCCAGCTTCTCCGAGCTTTGGTTATGGTTTTACTGGTTCTAATTCTTAGATTTTGTCTCAATCATCTTCTCAATGAGGATATCAGTCGAATGGTAATGGTCTTATTGTTAGAAATGGTTTTTCATCCAATTCTAATAATGGTGGTAATCAAGGGCAGAGATATTTTGGTACTAGCTCTAACTCATACAGGCCTAAAGGAAATAATGGTTATAAACAGAGGTTCAATGGATCTAATAGAGGTAATTCTTGGCAATCCTGGTCAGGAAACACTTCGAATAGATTTGATGCGATTCCAGAGTGTCAAATTTGCTCCAGAAAAGGTCATGTTGCATTTACATGTTTGTACAGAAACAATAATGGAAAGCCAATACATTAGTGTCAAATTTGTGGTAAGAAAGGGCATATTGCTCTCAATTGCAGGCATAAAAGTAACTATGCATATCAAGGCACTCCACCTCCAGCTTCTTTACCTGCCAATTATGCCAATCAAGGGTTTCATCCTCAGAATCCATCTTATCCCACTGCATCACAGTATATCTCTCCAAGCAATTTCCCTCAATTTACTCAGTATTCAACTCAGAATCTTGCAGTTCCATATTCATCTCAAATAATGCCTCAGGGTAATTTGACTTCTCTTCAATCTACAGGAGGTGACTCATGGATTGTAGACATAGGAGCATCTCATCACATGAGTCCTGATGTAACTGTCCTAACTCGAGCTGCTCCATATGAAGGCACTGAAAAGATTGTTGTAGGCAATGGTGAAGGTCTGGAAGTTAAACACATTGGTCATGGCACTTTACAAACTCAGTCTTATATGTTACATCTCAAAAACATACTACATATCCCTATGTTAACTGTTAACTTACTTTCTGTCAAGAAGCTGTGTGCAAATAATCACAGTTGGTTTATTTGTGATGAATCACAGTTTTTTGTACAGGACAAGGCAACAGGGGTGCTTCTACATCACGGAAAGAGTAGCAATAATGAACTATTCAAGATTCCAGTCCATGTTTTTCCAACAGTGATGACCTCAGGTGCTATTTCTCCAGCTTCTGATTTCTTGGGACATGCAGTCAAATCATCTTTGTGGCATCAGAGATTGGGTCATCCATCCAATGACATTTTAGCTACTATGCTTAAGCATTCTAATATTTCTTGTACTACTGATGATAATGCTAGTATCTGTTCACATTGTATAAGTGGGAAAATGAGCAGATTACCTTTCTTAGACAAGATTGATAAAGTTGATATCCCGTTTTACAAAATTCATAGTGATGTTTGGGGACCATCTTCTACTATTTCTCTGGAAGGCTATAGATACTATGTGTCCTTTATAGATGAAGCCACTAGGTTTGTATGGATATTCCCATTAATAAATAAAGCTGAAGTTTTTGGTACATTTCTCAAATTTTGTGCTTATGTTGACAATCAGTTTCATGTTAGAATTAAGATCTTACAAACTGATGGTGGTGGTGAGTTTATGAGCAATGTGTTTAAGATTTATCTGGATAATAATGGAAAATTGCATCATATATCTTGTCCATATACACCTCAGTAGAATGGATTGGCCGAAAGGAAACATCGGCATCTCATTGAAACAACAATTACTCTTTTATCTGTTGCTAAGCTTCCACAAAAGCTTTGGTTTTATGCGGTTGCACATGCTGTCTTTCTCATCAATCGAATGCCATGTAAGATACTCAAGATGGACTCTCCGTTTAGTAAGTTGTTTGGTTAGCAACCTGGGTTGGGATCATTGAGAGTATTTGGATATGCCATTTATCCTTACTTGAGGCCCTATAATATTCATAAGTTACAACCTAGGTCCACAAAATGTGTATTTCTAGGTTATTCTTCAGAATATAAGGGTGCTCTTTGCTACAATATAGTGACTGGAAAGGTGATTATTTCAAGGCATGTATTATATGATGAAAATTGTTTTCCTTACAAGGATTTAGAGCCTATCAAGAGTTCTATTTAGTCTCAGTCTATTGATATACAAAGTTCAAGGCCTATAATTGTTACACTGCCTTCTCCAGCATCTATACCTCA